AGGTATAGGATGGTCCTCGGGCAACGTGAGGTAAAATGTTAGTTAAAATATTGTATCACTAGCTTCCTATATCACGACAAGGTATAGGATGGTCCTCGGGCAACGTTAGGTAAAACATTGTATCACTAGCTTCCTATATCACGGCAAGGTATAGGATGGTCCTCGGGCAATGTGAGGTAAAATGTTGTATCACCACTCAGATTCATAGTGGTGGTTTGTCGGTTAGAGAAACTCCTACAGTAGAAAGAGCTTGTTTCCTCTAGGAGTTCTGCTTAGTATAACCCAGGATCAGCATCCAGCACGCCGTTGATCCAGCTGAGCACTCCAGAGTCAGTGGTGAGCCTCCTTGCATTCCGGAGAGCTCAATTATTTTGTGTTCTTAGTTTTGTTTATTTAGGGTGTTGCGGGGTCTGTCCCAACATCCATCTCCATATTTTAGAGGCTTCATAGACAGTCAGTCAGTTAGTATTGAGTCTCTCATCTATGTATATATGTAAATATTCTATTATGAGACTCGAGTTGCCCTTTTGGGCCAGATTTCATCAGTTAAGTTGTTTTATGTCTTTGCATGGCATTGAGTTATTCTGTTGAGTTAGGTTTCCGCTGAGTTAAGAAAGCCAGGCTAAGGGTTCGCTTGGAGCCAGCAATGGTCTCCGGGTGCCGGTCCTACCTAGGGTGTAGGCTCGGGGCGTGACACTTACTAGTTGGGGTTGAAACCTTTGAAGTTAGGGTGGTTTAGAGTTGGAAAAAGAGGGAGAAAAAGTCGAGTTTTCTGGGCAAAGGGTTGGCGCGTCGCGCCTACCAGCGCGCCCCAACAGGGGCTCTGAAGTTTTCCCTTTGGGGCGCCGCGCCTAGCGGAGCGCCAACAGGCCCCCTCTGAAGTTTTGGGGCTGGTGCTCCGTGCCTTACAGAGCGCCAAAGATGCCAAGTTTCCCCTTTCTTTTCATACTTTCTCATGCATGTTCCATGGTATTGTACCTATGTTTCCTAGTTGTTTCCAACACTCTAAGGTACATTTAAACCTTCTAAACTCGTATAAACATGTGATCATATACCTTGAATCCATAATTCAATTCAAGGCGAGTTTGAATGCAAGTCAAGCAAAGTTAAGAAGTAAGTCCGAGCAAGTCTATAAAGTTGTTCAAGAGTCTTTATTGAATGTTTTAACTTCATTTTAAGGCTCAAGTTGCAAGTCAAGCAAAGAGTATAGAGTTTCAAGTTAAGTCAAGAACATAAAGTGAGTTCATTTCTCAAAGTTATTAGGGAACTATGTATTGTGAAAGAAGTCTTAAAGAAATGTTTTTACATTTAAACAGGGTTGGAAACTGAGATTTCCAAAGAGCCTTCAGGCTAGTTTTTGAGTAATTATCTCAATCAGCAGGAAGACATATGTTTTAAAAACATAAGAGCCAGTACATCTTTGGGAGTAGTATCAAGCACCGAGCTGGGGGAGCGTTCAAGGAACCCACAGCCCCCATAGAA